TACCGGCTAGGGTTGCTCGAGCCGATAGGTCAGGGCTCTGACGATCGGGTCCAGTTAGGTTGTAACCTTCCAACCTAGCTAACTGACCCCTCTCGGTGAAACTGATCCTTCTAGGTCTGTTGAATCGTAGCTGCTCCTTATCGTGTGATTGAACCTTACTTTTGCCTTCGGAGCCTGGCCGGCTTCCACAGAATTCCTGATGTTAGTTACTAGCAAATTGTATGTGCGTTCGAACAGGCTGGGCTGCGGGCTTCAAGGCTCGTGGATTATCTCGGTAGTTGACGATGCCTTCCTATCGCCCGCTTGGCACCAACAAAGAGCAACTTAATTAGTTAATAAATAACTAATATATAATCTATACTGAATTATATTAAGGCTTATATAATACTCTATAAGATCTATTAATAGATCTTATATAGCAGGGAAGGTATATAATCTTACCTTCCTCTTATATAGAGAGCTTATACTTTATAGTAAAGTATTTTTAGGATTTAATAGTTATTATATAATATTTTAGCTAATCTACTCTCTTTATTATATTTACTATAAATCTAGCTTAGTAAGAATATAAGTACTCTTATAATCTTTATAATAGATTACTAATTAACTGGATATTATAGTAAGAGTCTTTTATTTTAAATAAAAGGCCTTGCTATATTTTATTAAGACTTTAAACTACTTTAGAATATTTATAGATTATATATAGACTATTAAGTATTAAAAGCAAGGCCTCCTATATATATATTTACTTCTCTTTCTTAAGCCTAAAGATTATACTAAGTTATTATAACTTTTAAACCTTAATAGGGTTATATATATAGAGCTACTAGACTATATAATAGATTAACTAATAAACTATACTATATTATTAAGTCTATAATAGTTTGCCACGATGAATTCGAAGCTTGCTCCAATTGGCGGGTCTGCAATTACCTTTGCTCTAGAAGGGTTTGTGGCCTTCTCCAACGCACCTCAAGCACGAATACTGACGATAGTATCCTTGACTTTGACGCTCTCGGCAATTCCAAACGATACGCTTCTATTATCACCAACCAGGCTTCTGGCAACGATGGCTTGGGACGATACAAATTAGAGAACGAGTTGAAGCTGTTACGCTGGAAATACGATGCTTTCATTGGTGAAACAGGTCTGGGAAAGTTCCAAATCAGGTGTCGCCATCTTAAGTCTTCCCGGTGGGGCTTTCTCGCGAAATATCATGACGACGGGCGGCAACAACCTGTATGGATATTATATATATTACGATATGATATTGAACAACTCGGAACCTATAAACTCGCATATGCAACACTAAGCCTGGATTTCGGATCCGAAACTCAAAGAACTGGGGGGGACGGTGTCATAGTAACGAACCGTTATGGACCTAAGCATATTCGCGGCGCCCCAGAACAGCGGACTGTTGAAGACCGGTACACGCTTCATCCTCAAACTGGGGCGGGAAACACGAGCCAAATTGGGAGTATGGAAAGGAAAATCAGTCAGGTGAGAACGGAGAGGTGGCACTTTGACGCTACGTTGTCAAAAAGCGAAAGAGAGGATGATAACCTAGTTCGGTGCATTAACTGGACAGTCGAAGAGGCCAGGCATGCTGTGGATCCTAACCATCCACCAGAATGGAAACTTGGGGTAGTGCTAGCGCACAATAATGAGATGTTCGACATGCACGTGGATATCTCCGTTAAACTAGCTGGTTGGAAGGGTTTTTTTTTATTTCAACCTAAAGCGGCGATTTCTTGGAAGATCGAACCTATCAAAGTGCCATGAACCAGTGAGCCTTGCCGTCGTTTTGCTGGATTGATCTAGGCTTGCAACAGTATTCTAGAGAATATTATAGTAACTTGAGTCGAAAGGAACTGCCGCCCTTTCAAGTCCCTTTTTCAAGCCGAAAGCTTTGTGACGTACTACCCTCAGCAGCATTCCTCTCGGGACCGCAGGGCCAACTGAAACCCCTCAACATCATGTAGCTTTGGGGGCTCCATAGTTCGAGGAATCGTGAGCGAGATGAGTTAGAGAATGGTAATCTTGGGTTATCTCACTCACATCTCAGGCTGTATCATATTGATATCGAGGCCCTGCACATGCATTTGAGGGTATTTCCTGTTTCACATTTGTAAGAACCAAAGCCAAATGTCGCCTGAGTAGATGTACTCGGAGAATTCAATCGCCCAGATCCCAGTACCAGTACCAATGTCTAGAACCCGTAATGGACTCTCAACATCCAACGGAGCTGAGAATAGACTGTTATTGCGAGCCACCAAGAAGAACTTATGGAATATGTCCAGGCGAGTTTTCTCCTCCTTGCGTGTGGATTATGTTAACTTTATCCCAGCAAAGCCGAGTTGGTTACCTCTTACTTCATCAATTGGAAATTTATATTTCTCCCTCTCTATATCTCCATTCTTCCCGTACCAGCGTCCAAGAGAAAAATAAACATCGCGTAACTTAAGCGGCGCTTTATGCGGAATCAGATTGTGGCAGTTACTGGCAAGGTGTCAGTGTAGAGCTAAATTGTGGGAGATGGGATAAGAAATCTAATTATACCTATTTGGTTCAGTGTCGGACATCACGACGAACGACGGAGAGTTTCTAGACTCGTCTTTGAGCATAATTCTAGGCTTCACAATGCGCAATCTAGGACGATATGAAGCGGGGTTGCGGCTACCCCACAGGTTTCTAAGATCAGGTGACGCTAGCCCTGAAGTGGGTTCAGTATAATAATACCTATGCGTTGCCTAGTTCACGGGGGCTAAATTAAGATGCATGTTAAGTCGTTAGAAAATATTGGGTTTAAAATAGTATTAACTTCGCTGAGTAATTAGTATAAACGTCTCGGGCTTATGCGTGCACATAGGGGATCAGTGCTTCGTGCTTACTAAGGGTATGGAAAATAGATTTTCCTTCCTGAGTCGGAAACTACATGAAATCACGAGGGAATGGTGCGAGCCTGAGAGAGACCAGAACGGCAGAATTAAAGAAGGCGTCTCTCTCCGTTTGAAGGATTCCGAGCAGGACATCCTCATGTATCAGGTACCATCAACGAAAAAGCTTACTGCTGAGGAGGTCGTGAAGCTGATGGATTTTTCGGGCGGAGGGGATTGACGTGCTGATTTCGATGCTTGGCTTGTCTGACTGTGAGTACTCCGTAGAGCTACAGAATCTTATTCTCGTCCTTCTCTCCACATTGCAACTCCATCCAGCCGCCCGACTCTCCGTTCAAGTGGAAATGGCAAAAACCTCTTCGACGATTTGTTGCGGCTCAATTCCGCTGTTAACTCCGGCGAGTTCGATCTTGATCGTATTAAGCTACTCGTAAGGGCAGCCATCACCGACATTCCCGACGATACAGTTATCTGGAATCATCTCTACGAAGCTGTTACAGAATCCACCCCGCCTCCCCGACCAATACCTTCGTCGATCCAACAAACGCCGTTGAGTCAGAACACGAGCGGCCTGGTTATCTCATCAGAGTTCCGCCAGGATGTGGACCCGATCCTTAAGTCGGAGCTCGGGCCACTCTATGCTGGACTTCCTAATTTTCACAAAGTTTTCTTTGGAGACGTGTCGGACCTCGACAGGGTTTCTGAGACCGTTTTTCGCCGGTGTACTGAAGGCGATCATCTACTATTTACTGACGGTTGGACTGAATGGCCAGCAACCGCCAAGGAGAGCGACGTGGTGGCTTGGTTTGGTGGCATAATCCCGAAGCTGGAAGCCTTCGCAAGCGACCGCATTCCGACTCCAACGACTCGGCGAAAACTGTTGGCGCAACCCAGGACTCCCTTGATTAGCTCCACAGGCAAACGCAGCATGGATATCGGCTTTGTTAACAGTGATATCATATATAACCTTGACTCTGAAGATTCGAGATATCGTTGGTCATATATCCTCGTTGCTGGCGAACTGAAAAGCAACCCGAAGGCGGATACCGCGTCGATTGTATGGATTGATCTTGCAAGGTACGTGAGAGAGATTTTCGGCGCCCAGGAGGACCGTCGCTTCGTACTGGGCTTCACTCTCTGCGGGTCTCTCATGAGAGTATGGGAGTTCGACCGGCTTGGGGGGGTCGCCTCCGAGCAATTTGATATTAACAAGGAGGATGGTGGACTACGGTTTGTGATGACAATCCTGGGATTTCTACGGATGAATGAGGAGATGCTCGGGTTTGACCCCACTATTAGAGCATCCGGCGATGAGAAATATATCGATATTGAACGAAACGACTGAATAGAGCGTCTTATTATTGACGAGGTCATGAGGCGAGCGCATTACATTGCCGGTCGGGCGACAGTCTGGTGGAGAGCACATCGAAAGGAGGATCCGCAGACGCTGCTTATTATCAAGGACTCATGGCAATACCCAGATCGGGACGAAGAAGGCGAACTCCTCCGAGACGCGACCGAGAAAGGCGTTGCTAATGTTGCCTGATATTACCACTACGAGACGGTTCGCGTACAAGGTGCCAATGATGACATCCAACAAAGCATTCGAAGGGGCCTGGACGTTACGAAAGCTGCTAATTATCGACCGGGACGTGCGACGCTGCAGTCAAGCGCGAACGCGTCCGTTTCTCGCAACGAGCGAAGTAGCAGCGCTGGTGTGAAGCGACCGTCCAGCGATACTGACGCCACTCTACCGCCGATTAAGCGATCACGTCCCGCATCTCCAGCAAACGCAAGCCGCGAACGACCGTCAAACCGGGTGCACCGGCGAGTTATTCTTCGAGACTATGGAAAGCCAATCTACAAGGCAAGCTCCCTCGTGGCTCTGCTTTCTGCGCTGGAAGACTGCGTCGAAGGACATGAGTTGTTGTACAATGCTGGTCTTCTTCACAGGGACATCTCTATCAACAACCTCATGGTGAATGAGGACGACAGGAACCCTTCCTGGCGAGCATTTTTGATTGACCTGGATCTCGCCGTTAGAGAGCAACGGGAAGGCGCCTCAGGTGCAAAAGGGAAGACCGGTACGAGAGCATTCATGGCCATTGGTGCACTTCTAGGGGAGCAGCATTTGACGTATTCGTTCCAACTCTCATCCCTTCAACCCGTGATTTCTCAACAACGATAGCAGTTTTCGACTTGAAATTAGTATCATATTATCGCCACACGTTAATTTAACTATGACTGAATTTTCAGAAGAATTGCGCAGTTGTACGGCAAAAGCGGCACGGTTCTATATATCCGGATCCAATAAATCGCGTCCCACGCGCGGTCGGCCCAGGGGCAAACTCACGATCGCGGATTTGGCTACAATTCATCAAACCAACCTCCCTCTTTTGAAGAAGTATATTCGGCTGTTGAAGGAAGGCAAGGACCTTCCTTCTGAAGCTTCAGATAGCTTGCGAGGGGGTATTCCGTGCCTTACGAAGCAAGAGGAGGCTGCTCTTATCACCTATATTCAGAAGGTTGAAAATACCTCCTTCCAATTGACTGACGCTTGCATCGTCAACAAGGCCAACTTCCTGCGCCGTTTACGCAACGAAGGGCCTGTATCGTATAAGTGGCTTCCAAGATTCAAAGCCCGGCATCCTGAATTAACTAGCCGCGTTGGCCGGTTCAAAGAGGTGACCCGGATAGGTGCTGAACTTGACCCTGACGAGCTCGAAGCCTGGTATACAGAATACGAGAATGTGGCCAAAGGGCTTCAAGTTGAGCCCGATAACCTGTGGAATTTCGATGAGACTCCCTTGCAGATAGGCTGGGCCCGCGGGAAGGTGAAAATAGCCTCCATTCGTAAGAAGAAGAGCAGCCGCCAGATTCTCTTCCAACCGGGCAATAAGGAGAGTTTAACATCAATTGACGCGATCAGTACAGCCGGGAGATATATCCCTTCTTTCCTTATCCTATCCGTAAAAGCGTTGCTTGAGGATTATGCATTTGCTGACGTGACGATGATGTGGTTATAATACATACGGATACTGGCTACAATAACGTACATCGTGCTCTTTACTGGCTAAAGCACTTTAATTATTACTCTTTCAAAGCAAGCGATAGCTTTAAGGGTTATACGATTCAGAGCTGGTTCGGTTACGCAGCCGATATTAACTACAAGGGTTGGGAAGAGCGGGTGAACAAGGAGCCCTTTTGTATTCGAACCACGCCACGGTTCGCAAGGCTCCTCCTGATGGATGGATTCGCAGCCTACGAAGACCCCGAATTCCTCTGGTATTGCGATATGTTTGATATCGTGCCTTTTAAACTGTTTTCTCATATGAGCCATCTTATGCAGCCTCTCGATGTGGGCGTTTTTCAACATGTAAAGCGGTCGTAACAGAGAAGCCTCCAGAAGTGGGTTCGCAGCGGAGGGCTTCAGATAACCCGCTATGACTTCCTATGCTCTTGGAAAGGGATAGTCAAGGATTCCTTTCGAGTTGGATATATATACACAGGCTTCGAAAATAGCGGATTATGGCCTATTGACCCGGATAAGGTGTTGTCAATAGTCAGGGCGGAGCGCGAAGAGCAGACTAGGCCAATGTGGCCCAACTTGTTATACGAGACCGTCGCAACCCCACGGTCTGCTAAGCGGAAACTCGCGAATATCTCAATAGCCAATATCAATGAGGATTTAAAAAAAGCAGTGGATGATGTATTAACTGCTCTAGATTATTCTATTATTTTACAGGATGCACAGCTTGAAGCGTTGAAGTTGGTGCGTGAGCGGTTAGCTCAGCAGGCTGCGCGCACGCGGACTATGCGGCGTATCGCGGGTACGAAAGACGGCGCTTTCACAAGAGGTCAACTTCTCGCGAAGGTTAAGGCCCGAGAGGAAAAGGAGCATAATGAACTGTTGAAGAAGCAGGCTAGGATGCAGAAAGTAGAGCTTCGTAAGTTGAGGGCTCAAGAGGCCGCTTTACAAGCAGCTTCGCAAGCATCGCAACCTCGTCTTCGCGGCCGAGCCGCAGCAAAGGCTAAGGCAGAGGCAGAGGCTAGGGCTCGTGAACAGCTAGCCTCTATGAACTCGCAGGTTCAGGAGCGATATCTCAACATCCGAGAGGCTTGGGACCAAGCGGATAACTCTCAGAAGATACAGTTATCGGCTACAATGCCTCTCGATGCTCTGGAGTCAATTCCTGACTATTCAGACTGGCTAGCTGCCCAAGAGGTTCGAAGAGAAGCTGCAGCTGCTGTTGAAGCCCTCCCTCAACTAGCCCGGCACCCTCTTAGCTCTCCTAACGCCGGTTATATAACTGTTGCAACAAACAGCTCCGTTGGGTTGCCCGGCAGCGATGACAGTATTGAGATCATTACACATCGCCCACCCGGCTCAACCTGGGCAAGAGATATATCAATCTCTGCAGGAAGACCTGTAGATTCATATGGAAGAGAAGTTGAATTTATATCTCAAGCGTGGTCGGGCGAATCGCATTATGCGCCTGCGAATTACTCGTCTGACGATACGGAGATCATGGTGGGGGGCGTACCAATTAGGGTCCCAAAGTCGCGGGCCCGCGCGCCGTAAATCAATTACCACACCACCAATTTTACGTTAGAAATTATGAAATTAAATATACGGATCAATTAGCTATTAATAAACAATATCTCAAATTATCACATAAAAATCTGTTGAATTGATAGATTTAGAGGGGGTTGAAGATCCGAGAGTTGGATACGAATGCGTCAAAGATACGGTCCGTGTCACCCCCTCTTTAGAGGGGGGCTAATTTGCATTGCTTACGTACCCGCCGGATAGGTCAATTCGTGATGATATTCTTTCTTCTTTTACCTTACTAAACCCTCAGCTATACCGCCAGCGTCAACATGTCCACCGCGATAATCCTGGCCGTTTGCCAGCAATATGGTGTCCTAATCGGAATACTTGAACACCTCTCTCCTATTGATACTTCGTCATTTTTATTTGCAACTTGCTCTTTTTCATTGCTTCCTCGACCCATGCAGGATGAGTATATGAATCTAAAGAGAGAGCTGCAATTTTTAAGAAGGGAATCAAGCCTAGGGAAGTGGATCACTGATATGGAGGGAATGACCGATACGATCATCCTCGCGGGCAGAGGCCTTGGTCTGCTTTTGGAGGCATACAAGAAGCCCACCACCTTCTGGAAAAAAAATACCTCTTATAAAAAATTCAGGCTTTGGATTATGTCGATCGGTGCAAAGAGATGTCTTCGTTCTTCAAGCGATTCGTGCTTGGATATCAATGGAACTGTAGGTACGGGCATGCCATTTGCGTCCTGCAATCACAGGCATAAAACGTCTGGTTGCAACGGCAGGATTTGCATGGCGAGATACCAAGACAAATGGGCATGGGGCCAGGTCCGGGCTCGTGGCCCCTTTGCTTCAACAAGTATACGAAGCGATGGGTTACAATTCCGACTCCGGAAGACGAGAGATTCGAATTCCAGTACTACGCCACTCCAGAGACGACTCCAAACCAGCCTCTAGACCTTCTTATCGACGACTTGGGGATGGTACACTCGATTTCTGAAAGCTTACCGTATGTTGTCTTGACTGGTGGAGTTATAGAAGTCTCCGAGCCTGTTGAGGCTGGGGACATGGATCACGCGCCCTCAGCAAGAGATGTCATACTGGACATGGGACTTGAGAATGAATGTACAATTGTGTTGACACACATGGCTGATAGACGTGTTTGGATGTGGATTTTGGAGCTTGGGCCCCTTAGCGACTACCAGCATGCGTTTTGACGGAGAGAACAGGGGATGATGGCAGCATGTAGTTCCATAGGATGTTTTCGGAGCGTTTGTGATTCCCCTCTTACTAGCGATAATATGGTAGATCTTCAGGCATGCTTTTAGGAATTACAACCGTACCCACTTACCACTGTCCTCACTTTTCCATGGTCAAACACCCTCCTTAGATAAGCTCCTCTAGATAAATTTCCATTCCAACCTAAGGCACTATACTATGATTTGTTTGTCTGACTATCTCCGCCCAAATTTTCAAGCCAGTTGAATCACGCTTAGGTGAGTTCTATTCCTTGAACTATAACGCGAAAGGTTGTCTTACCCAAAATACCCGATCACAAGCCTTCAGAAACCGATTCTTCGCGCCTTCAATTTGGTCTGAGGTGTATACGGGTAGATAAGAAGTGGGTTTGTGGACATGTTGGATTCTTTATGATCAAATGTTGTCCAGAAACGCTCAAGGGATGCAAAGGACCTCCCGCAGATCATGAAGAAGTCGAAGAGTCAACGAAGTGCAGTGACTGCATACGCAAAGAAACTATGCCGGAGACATCTCTATTCTATCGAAATGATATAACTAGGGGCTGCGCGAGCGCAATGACATCTCATTAATTTGATGTGTTTGATCGATTATTTCTGAACCTCGAAACCAGTCTCCCCTCTCTCTCTCCGCTTAAGATGCATTTACAGAGATGTGACAGTGGTCGTGGTTATCTGTTGAGTTTACTAGACTGTGCGTGTACGACAAACTTCTGTTTGTGCTTGGAGTGTTCTGCGGTATACTTGGAAGATCATATTGCCCCTACTATCAACTTCTGTGCGAATAATAATAGGTAAATAGGTTTGATTCGCTGGTATACTGAAGAGAGTAAAGATAAAAGTAGATAGATACCAGTTTATTCTGTATCTTATAATAGCTATATAGAAGTAGTTAAGCTGCTTATTAAATAGGGAGCAGATATTACAGTAGTAACTAATACCGGATAGATACTAGTAAATACTACTACTTATAATAGCTATATAGAAGTATTTAAGCTGCTTATTAAATAGGGAGTAGATATTATAGTAGCTAATAATAATAGATTAATACTAGTTTATTCTGCTGCTTCTAATAGCTATATATAAGTAGTTAAACTGGTTATAGAACAGGGAGTAGATATTAAATCAGAAGGTAGTAATAGTCAGATACTACTATCGGGAGCTACTGATAAAGGGTATATAAGCCTTATAAAATTATCCCTTTCTATAAATATTAGCTTTAAATCTAAGGATAATATTAGCTATATACTACTACTATTAGCTACTAAGAATAGGTATAAGGTAGTAGTAAAGCTTTTACTTAATAATAATAGTATTAACCTAGATTCTAAAGTAAGAAATACTCTAGCTCTGCTATTATAAGTTATAGAGAATAAGCTTTAATTATTATTAAAGATATTATTAGAAAAGGATAGTATTAACCTGAGCTATAAGGATAGTAAATATAGTTAGATATTATTATTATAGGCTGTATAGAAAGGGTACCGGGAGATAGTAAAGCTACTGCTCGCTAAAAATAGAGTTAATCTAAACTCTAAGGATAAATACAGTTAGATACCTCTACTATAGGCAGTATTAAATAGGTATAATAAAGTAGTTAAGCTACTTTTTACAAAAGATAGAGTTAATACAGAATCCAGTAATACCTATACTTAATACAGCTAGATACTACTGTTATAGATAGTAAAAAGAGGTAATAAGGTAGTAGTAAAGCTTCTACTTACAAAGGATAGTATTAATAAGGGTATAAAAGATAATACTAGTCGGACGCTATTGCCTTATACTGCTGAGAATAGATATAAGGCTGTTATTAATCTTCTACTGGAGAAGGGAGCTAAGGTTAACTTAAAGAATAACTCTGATTATATACTGCTATTATAGGTAGTAGAGAACAGGTATAAAACTCTTATTAAGTTACTTCTAATTAAACTATAGAATTATATCTATTTTTTATATTAAATTTAGTTATTAATACTTAGAGAGCTAGTAGAGGTTTATATTATAAAAGCTACTTTAAGAGATATAAAGAATAATATATTAATAAAGATATTTTTAGGCTTCTATTTATATCTTAAAACCAGGGGCTTATATATTTACTAGTATCAGACTGATCTTAAATTCTCAGTATTCTGCTATAATATCTATAGTAGCAGTCTCTAAGCTCTTTAGTAGAGTATATATTATTCTTCCCAGAAGGTCCTGCCCTAATATAATATCTATAGTACAGAATATATTCCCTGTACTAGTAAATAGAGTAATATATACTAATAGTTTCTGCTTTCTAGTTATAAGTATATTAATATTAGATTATATACTCCTACAGCTTGATTATTATATAGTATAATTTTAAAAGCCCTAGCCTAGTACTTCTGATATCTCCTTAATATCAGCTTATAAGGCTAATATATCTTATTACTCTTCTATTTATATTTAAAGATTTACTAATAAACAGAGGTTTATTATTATCTTAGCTAACTAAAAGTCTATCTATTAAATTAATTTAGATAATTAAATTAGATTAATATTCGGAATATAATACTATATTTAAATTAATATTACTTACTTATTATAGTTTTAATATAAGTTCTAATTTTAGGATTTTCTATCCCCTAGCTTAATCCTTAGAGGTTTTATTAAATTTAGCTTTCTATTATTAATAGCTATTTTAGAGCTATATATTTCTTATCTCTAGGTTTTCTTTATCTTAATTAAGGTATTCTAAATAGTCCCTAGCTGATTAGACTTATAATATAAATTTCTCTAGTAACTTTCCCTACTTATTATTATTATTTTAAAGCTAGAGAATATCCTGCTTTAATTATTCTTTCTCTAATCTAAGAAGTTATAAGTATTCTTCTAACTCTATTTAGACTTATTTATAGGAGTAAATAGAGTTTTAAACTAACTCTAATATCTCTTATAGCTAATAAGAGCTTTAAAAGGGATTTCTATTAGCTTTAAAAGGGTTATTAAACTCTTTAACTATATTATTCTGCTGTATATTATTACTCTTAGCTCTTTATCTAATTAGTACTTTAGTAGAGATATCTAAATTCTTCCTAAAAAAAGAAAAGTATATAGACTACTGAATAAATTATAAGCTTATCTATTAGGGGTTTTATATAGAAGGATTATATAGTTCTATTAAAAATAGGAATTAGCTATTATAGATCTGGTTAGTATCTTAAGGAATACTATACTAATTAGGAGGTATAGTCCAGCTATCTTTCTTAAGGTTATTACTACTATTCTGGATTAGCTAGGTATTTTAAATAATATTAACTACTCTAGTAAGAGAATTCTTAAAATAAGTATATATAAATTAATCTAGTTTTCTAATCTTATTATTAAGTAGTATAAGTGAGTTACTATTAGTAATAATAAAGATATATAATAGTAGAAAGATCTTTATAGCAGAGTCTAATATTACTATAATAAGCCTGGTAGATTTATAATATAGGATAAGTAGTACTATAGTAGTAATACCTGGGTTATTACTAAGTCTCTAATAGTTAGATTATATAAAGGGGGTTCCTTTTTAAAGAGAATAAGCTATAATAAATACTACTGCTCTTTAGATCTACTAAGATTACCCTTATAGCTTATTATCTTTTACTTATTATCTTTTGAGTTTATATAGCTCCCTAATCTCCCTAATAATCAGCTATAATCTTTCAGCTAAATCCCTATAAGCCTTAATACTTATATACTATCCTTTATTCTTAGTCTACTAGCAGCTAGTAGTTTTAATATTTAACTCCTTTAGACCCTACTCTCTTTAGTAGATAATCAGACTATTTATTATAGTAGAAATAGTTAGATTAAATCTTACTAAGAAGAGAGAAAGAACTTATTTATTATAAAGTTTCTACTAAAGGAGGTATAATATAGTTTATAAGTATCTTTAAGCTCTTTAGATATAAGAATCTATAAATCTAATATCTATTATTTATTTAGTTATAGAACTATTAATTATATTATTTAGTTTTACTAATAGTTTTAGTTAATATATTAGTATAGAGGTTTTACCCTCTGTAAATATTACTAGCTTCTTACTGAATTCTGAAAATCTACTTAGTATATTCTCCTGCTTTATATCTCTTAGCTATTTAGTCTAGCTATTATAAAAAAATCTAACCTCTATTTTTAAACTTAAGTATAATATAAGTTTATTTAAATAAGTATAAAGAGGAGGTATAGCTAATTCTTAACTTTCTATAACTATAGCTACTTTTAAATAATCTAGATCCTGTTTAATAGTAAATACCTACTATTAGGATATATATTAGTTCCTACTAGTAACCCCTTTATAACTTAGTACTATTCCTATCTAGCTAAAGAGCTAGAACAGAAGATATATATATATATAAGTTTAAGTTATAGATATAAACTACTATTAGTCTGAACTTAATATTATAGTACTATCCCAGGGGTAGGAATAAGCTTATAAAGTAATATAGTCTCTGGTTATAATTCTGATTTAAGTTATTTACTATATAAGGGGAACCAGGAGATAAGTAAGGGCTAAAAGTTATCCAAGGTTAAGTAAAAAGAGCAGCTTTATAACTACTAGAATAGCTTATTTTTCTTATAATAAGCAGTAGAATAGTATATATCTAATATAAGATACTAACTACTAAAATACCCTACTAAAAATATCCCTCTTTATTCCTAACTCAGATAGTAATATACTAATATATAAAAACTAAGATATACTTTACTAAATTACTAGATAATACTATATTATTAGATAACTTCAAAGTATTATAACTCTATTTTAAAATTAAGATTTAATTCTTTTACCCTTATTTCTTTTCTCTTAGGTTTTAGTTTACTAGTTTATTATTATAGCTTAATATATAAACTACTGGAATATATTATTAGGTATATAATTAAAGTTAAGCTCTTATCTTTTACTAGAGATATATAGGAAATATCTAGTCTTAGGTAATAATAATATTAGTAAGTAGTAATAGACTGAAACTTAAGTATAATTAGTTATTATAATCAGAAAGAGATATTATAGGAATACTACTATATATCTATAGAGTTTTAAAGACTTTCAGATATTAATAATAATAGACTATCTAATAGATAGTACTCTAAAGTAGTAAATAAGCTATTTAATAACTTCCTAGTAAATTATCTAGCTTTACCTTAAATCTACTAATTAATATTTATATTATTACAGTCTGAGTATACTATTAAGAAGTTCTTTAATTAGCTAATTTCTTCTATTAATATACTATATTCCTACTATAGAGAATAGTACTTTATCTCTAATATCCCCCTTATTTCTTTAAGATTCTATACCTACTCCTTCTTCTTATAGTAATACTTAGATATAGTAAGTTAATTCTATTTAAGATACTTATTTTATTTCAGGTTTTTATATTTATTCTTTAACTTTAGCTCCTATTTTTAGAATAACTACTACTTCTTTTAAGCAGGATTATAAGTTTATTTTTTAGCTTATAAGTTATAGAATAAGGTAGAGGAAATAAGTAATAGAAATAAAGAGTTACTTAATATATAGGATAACTTTCTTATAGTAGTTAAGTTATAAGGCTTAAATAAAGCTATTACTTCTAAATTAATATTATTATTAATATTAATTAGCTTTTTACTATTCTTAAACTGATAAAATAATAGTATTAAGCTATTAAGTTACTAATCCTAGATTAAAGGAAATATAGTAAAGGTAAGCTTAGAGAGCTTATTACTAATATTAATAGGGAGTAGTATTACTAAGCAGGGATCTACTATTATATAGTTAGTATTTATAAAAGGATCTATAAACCTATTATTATAGATTAGAGCTAAGTTAAAGTTATTATCTATAGTCTTACTAATAGTATATATTAAAGCTAATTTAGTTATTAAGGCTATAGTATAAAATAGAATTAGATCCTTAGATTAATTTTATTATAATCTGGATATATTTAGAGGTAAAAGGGAAAAAAGTAAGATATAGCTAGATATAGAGTTATATTACTAACTTTAGATTATTATAGGAATTATAGGGTAGGTTTATTCTTAATAATAGTTACTATTATAAAGCTCTAGAGTTCTACCTAGTAATAGAATATCTATTTCAGGTATTACTATAATAATCTGGCCTTAGGTAGTATCTAAGAAAGTACTAATTAAGTAGTTAGAAAGTAGTTCGGTTTCTGGATATAGTAAGGTACTTATATATAATATAATAATTTTAAGTTAGTTAGGTATAAAACCTCTTATTACTTTATTCCTTAAGATACTACTCCTTAAGGTACTATATCTCTTAACTCTAAAATACTATCTATAGCCTATAAGAGAGATAGAATATATAATAGGTATCTATATTATAGGCTGATAAAAGCTCTTAATTAATTAATTAATAATTATATAGACTATATACACTGAGTTATATATAAGACCTACTATATATATAGAATCTAACTATATAAAGGTATATATAAGAATTATTAATTACTTATATATATAAAGTAAATCCCTATCTATATAAATACTTTTCTAATTTAGTATATTATATAAAGTATTACTATATATACAGAGTTAGTATTATATTAGACCCTTCCCTTACTAGTATTATTATTAGTTCTAAATACTATACCTAGTCTTTATTTTTTTACTAATTATATATTAATAAACTATAGTAAGACTCTCTAAAATAGTTTAAGTTTTAGACCTTATATTTAAATAATAATAGTTACTATAAAGCTAACTAATCTCTTATTAGTAGTATAATATTATATAAATACTCCTTTTACTCCTATAAGATTATATAAGAAACCTAGCTCTAGCTAGCTCTTAATACTATAAGGATAAAATACTATCTTAATCTTCCTACTTATATTTTAAATCCGCTATTACTTATTAGGCTATAGGGTAGCCAGCTAGTATTAAGATAGTAAGAGAAACTATAAGTACTTAAGAATTAATAATTATTATCTCTTGAATTTCTAGATTAAATAGTATATTTTCCCAGTATATATCTATATATACTACCCCTTTTTAATAGATAGCTTTTATAGATTATATTACTATTTCTATTATAGAGGTTTTATTAAGGTCTATTATATTAATATCTCTTAAATTAATACCTCCTCAGGATATAAATAATAGATAGACTATATTAATATAGAGATTATAATAGTATATTCTGCTAAAGGTATAAAGATTAATAGTACTAAGGAAGATAAGTATATAGATCCCTTATACTTTCTTAAGTTACTTATAGATTAGAGCTTTATACTTTAGATCTAAGATAAAAGCTTCTATTATACTTTTACTAATAAAAGTATACCTATATATAAGTAAAGAAATCTTAAAGAGAGCTCTATAAGAACTAGTAATATCTAATAATATAATTCCAGAGTTAAGAGTTTATTTTAGCTACTTAGAAAGAAGCTTAAGAAAGTTAGTATATATAATAGAATAGTATTTAGAGTAATTTATCTTATAATTCTAAGTTCTATAGAGAGTAAAATTTAAATAATTAGTATTAAGTATATAACTCCTTACTAGGCCTAGTAGATACCTCTATATATAGAACTAGATAGCTTAATTACTATCTTTATTACTATTTATACTATTACCTTAACTGCTTTCCCTAGTAGCCTGCCTAGTAACCTACTAGCTCTACTAAGTTCTCTGGTTCTGCTCTAGTTATTATTACTCTGCTGGACTAGTACTAGGTAGGTAATTTAAATCCTTATTATTATTAGATTTATTATTCCTTTTCTATCTTATAGGAAGTATTCTTCTAGATTTAGTATTTTTTTTTTTAGCTTATACTTCCGGTATTTTACTAAGTAATTAATAGTACTATAAGTTATAGGAGTAAAGGCAGATAATCCTAGTAATACCTTCTGCTAATCCTTAGAAATTATACTTACTATACTAGAAGTTTACTTTCTATTATCTTAGCTTACTAATAACTTCCTAGTACCTATTTTAGCTGATATATATATAATTACTAAGTATCTGGAGATAGAAGGCTAGATACTAGGAAATAGTTATATATAAATAGAACTATCTATACTCTTCTACCTTCAGATTAGGCTCTACTAGATAATAGTAAAGAACCTTAGAAGCTCTCTAATTAATCTTAAGAAGTATAATAGCCTTACTAGTTATTAAGAGGCTATAAGCTAGACTACTCTTAATTATATAGTAGTAGGTCTATATAATAGTAGTAGTAGTTAGCTTCTCAGTATAATATTAAAACTTAGCTTCTACCTCTATTAGGATCTTATTCTTATAGATAATATCTTAGAAGATATATATATTATACAGGCCTTTCCAGAGCTATAGGAGGATAAGCTTATAAGATAGCTTATACTTAGTAATTATAATAATAGACTATTTTCCTAGGTTAGTCTCTATAAGATAATATATTAGCTCTCCTACTATATATCCTTCAGTATATACTCTATTTATAATACCTTCTGAAGTATTACTACTAATAGAATATAAAAATACTTTATCTTTTTTTTTTTATATAATATTTATTACTTATCTATACCGCCTGAAGTTATAGAACTAGTTAATCTTACTGATCTAGACTTATAATATTATTAATCTCTATATAAAGTAAGGATATAGCCTGACTAACCTATAGTACTCTCTAGACCCTCTCTCTATTATTTTCTCCCTTAGGTTTTTAAGAATTACTAGTATAGATAGAAATATAGCTATAGGATAAGCTGATCTAGCTCAGGCGGTTATTAGTATACTAAATTCAGTATTATCTAAATATTTAGATCCTTTTAAATTCAGTATTAGATTTTATTTAGTATATTTACTAGTATATAATATAATTTATATTTCTAGATCTTAAAGTATAATCTAATTATACTTAAGCTAGATAGTAATAAGAAGAATTATAATAGATAGAGATCTATATAAAGCTAGTTATAATAGCTTTTAGTTAGCCTATATACTAACTAATATTTCTTCCTCTATATTTAAAAATAGAATCAGATTCCCTTATATCTCCTTATATATATTAAGTAAATAAATAAGTACTAATTATATTATCTTAATATAATAATAGTAAAGGACCTCTAAGTACTAATTCTCCTCAGCTTTATTCCTATTTCTAATCTTATTCTTACTCTTATTACTATTTCTATACTTACTCTTCTTAATCTTAATCTATTTATCCTTACTTATACTCTTACTCTCTATTAGTAGTATTATTTACTATATTAAGAAAGATTATACCTAAGGCCCCTTAACTTAACTATAGAGCTATTCTATATATACTCTGTAAGTATAATAATTAAGGTTTAATAAATAATAAAACTATAATCTAATAGCCTAAAGAAGTTATTAAGTCTATAGTAATAAATTATACTTTTAATAGTATATATTAGGAATATTATATATATTATAAGGAGATTAGTAAGAAGGCTAGGTTAAATATATATATTATAAGTACTAATAGATAATTAAGATTAAATAAGTACTTAATTCTTTATCTAAAGAAGTAATAAAAGTCAGTCTCTTATATTAATATTTATTATACTGATTATACTATAGATACTATAGTAGATAATTTAGAGTATATATAACCCTTAGTATATAGCTAACTGTATATAATAAGAGATAATATTAAGAGTAATAGAGATATAGGAAACCCTTCCTTAACTTAATATATCTAGAAGTTTATTATAGATTTATTATACTTATTTACTTCTACTATAGTAGTAGTATCTTCTTAGACAGGTTTACTAAAAGTCCCCTAGTATACTTAAGAAGAAGAAGAAGAAAAAAAGAATAAAAAATTATATATAAATACTAGTAAAATATAATAGAGTTTATAGAATAAACTCTTAGAATTATATATTATAAGATATCACTAGGTACTAGTCCTTTAAATTAGAGAATATCTATAATATAATATTTTTTTAGCTTAATATTAAGAAAAATAAAAGTAATCTAGATATAGAAGGTCTAATTTTTAACTACTATTTAACTGAATATTATTATTTCTAGTAAGATATATATAGGTAAGATACCTAGGTTAATTAATACTAAAATAAAGATATAACTATTAGGGCTTTTAGCTATAAATAATATAGCTATACCCTATATTAATTATCTAAAATAGTAAAACAGGGTAATATTAAGTAACTTATATTAGCTAGTATACCTGAGTTACTAGATTATTAATATTCTTTCTATACTTCTAGAAAGGAATTTTAAGATTATCTACTCTTAGACTCTCCTACTAATAGCTATTATAATACTACTATAGTACTAGATTATTAAATTATATATTCCAGATAGGTATATTTTAAGTAAATTATAGGTATTAGCTTAATTAATAAGATATTAACTAGCTTAGTATCAGGATATCTTAAACCCTCTAAATACTATACTTACTCTAAATATAGCTCTTAAAGGGCTATTTATATTTATATATAAGCTTAAGGTATTAGCTAAGCTATTCTATTCTAATAAGATAATAGATTCTTCTAATTTCTTTTTAGAAGCTATAGGTCTATTAGAGTAAGTAAAGGGTTTTATAGGCCCTGCTATAAGATAAGAGCTAGAGAAAAGCCTTTAGAATAAAGCTAAGGAGAAATTTTACCTTATATAAGATATAGTTATATTAAGGGAATATTATTTAGATCTTAGAAAGCTTATTATAGCTCTGAGTATAGTAGCTAAATCTACTGAACTATTAGTATTTAATATTTTATTATTATTATAGCTAATCTCTAGTCTAATTAAAGAATTAGTAAAACTATCCTTCCCTAGTAGACTTTAGAATAAAGATTTTTTTTTTTTAGGGAGATTATTAGTTAGAAGATATTAATTAATTATTACTATACTATTAAATATAACCAGATAAATATATCCTTATTATAAATTATAAAATAATAATATAAGACCTACTGATAAGTTTTTATATAGTTAATCTTAGTACTAGGTAAATTAGCTATAAGTATCTAAAGAGAAATATTATTAATATCCTATAGCGGATTAGATAAGATTATTATACTCCTCTGTAAAGTAGTTAAGTAAAGGAAGTCCTATTACTACCTAGCTATTAATATTTAATTAAAAACCCTTAATAAATAAGTTAATACCCTTAAAAAGCTATTTTAAGATTATTCTAAAATTAAAATTTATAGCTATTAAGCAGATATTAGCTCTGTATACAGATTCTTAGTAATATTACCTAGCTCTATTTAGTTCCTATTGCTTAGTCCTATTTTACTCTATAATATAAACCCTGCTTTATAGCTAAAGTTTTACTCTTAGCTACTATAGTATTATCTATATCTAATAAGGAGATTAATATAATTCTCTATATAGTTAGTAAAATAAATAGGGGAGAAGGTTTATAGAAGTAATAGGAGATATAGAGGAATAGCTAACTGAGTAGCTATCTGTAAGGTATTAATATATTAAAAATACTAATTTAAAAAAGGGTTATCTTCTTAGCAGACCTTTAATAGAAATTAAAAGGTTTAACTGTTATAAATATCTTTTACTACTTATTCCCTGAAGAGAAGATATTAAGAAGTAGGTATAGAAGCTATTTATAACTACTTAAGATCTAGGTAAATATTAAGAGGCCCTTAGAAATAAGGATAACTTTATTAAAATAGGTATTATAAAATCCGAGCCTCTAATTAGGATAGTAATACTTTACTTACTGATTTAATATATAATTACTTATACTTATAATTAGTTATACTACTTACTAACTGCTCTAAAAGAGTAATAGTATAGAACTATAAAGTATAGAACTAGTTATACCTTCTCTGTTTTAGTAAAGGAGTTAGGGGATATAAGTACTTAGATACTGTAATACTAACTGAATAAGCGGTTTTTATTATATAACTATAGATATAATATTCCTACTAACTCTATACTATATTAATAAGTATAACCTTATTAAACCTATTTTCTATATTTACTAAATATACTAATATACTATATTTTTATAATTATTTAGCTGATAATCTGTTAATTCTATTTATCCTATTATTATTATCTAGATCTACTAGGATATTTATAGGATATAATAATCTTAATAAGCTCTTCTGAATTTAATACTTTATAGTTTTACCCTTCTTATATATAATACTTATCTTTTTCTCCGGGCTTATTATATACTTAGGTACTATATATATACCCCTCTTTACCTACTTCTACCTTATATTACTATCGAGCTTCTTAATACTATATCCCTATAATAATACTAGTATAAAGTTAAGATTATTCTTATAGATCTATATAATAGGGTAGAAATACTTATTTATAGTACTATTAGTACTATCGCCCGGGTTCTATAGATAAGCACCTGGTATATAATCTTTCTTTCTTAAAAGCTAGAAAAAGATATCTTATAGCCCAGAGAAGTTATCTATAATCAGTCTATAGCCCTAGCTATTAGTAATCTTAATAGTATTAAGTATATAATAGTAGTTCTTAATAAATATCTTAATTATAGTATCTTTAAAGAAGAGTATACTAGAGAGATTATCTATCTAGAATATAGGGAAATCAGTCTATTAGGATAGTAACTAAGCTAGTAGGATAGGAAGAGCTTACTATCTATATAAATATATTATAGCTAATCTCTTTAAACTCAGCTAAGGTATATAAATTATCTCTTTAGCTGCTAATATTACTATAGATATCAGGAAACCAGTATTACTATAGGTCTTTAGTAGAGCTATTAGTAGTCTTATACTAAAGGGTAGGAGGGAAGGTTATTTATCTTTTATTAATAGTAAAAGCTTAGAAAGTATAGTCCAGATCTAATAGAATTATTAATTAGTTCTAGTCTTTCTATAAGAACTCTTATAATAATACTTACTTTTTAATATATTTATATTATAGAATATATACTACTTATTAATTAGGATACTAGCTTTTATTATCTAATCTACTATAGGCTATTTAGAAATTCCCTAGCTATATAAATTCAGATTAATAGAAGTAAATATCTATTATATCTTATATTATATACTAGAGCTCTAATAGTATTCTAAATACTAATAATCTTAACCCTAATATCTATAAGATCTAGCTCTTCCTTATTATTCTGATACTACTCTAACTTTCTAAAGAGATTACTATCTATATTTATATAGTATACCTCCTATATCTCTATAAAGTATAATATATATACTACTAAGAGAATACTAATATTATAGATAAGATTAGTAACTAAGTATATAGTAAAAGCCCTATAGGAGAAGCTAAAGAAGAATAGCTTATTATTAGGCTGGTAGTTATTACTAATAAAATTATAGATCTAAACTATATTAATATTAAAGCCTTAGCTAATACCGCCTATAAATTAAAGTAGTAAGTATATTAGTAAAGCTATCTAAGGGAAAATAAAAAAGACTTAGGTTTTAGTAACTTACTATATATAGCTTTTTAAAGGGGGAGGTCCCTAGTTCTAAGATCTAAATAGTATAATATAATCTGCTTTATAAGATTACCTTTAGTATTAGAGCTACTATTTATAACTACTCGAGCTAATTTAATAATATTTAAAGGGGCAGATTTATTATCTATATCGGATATAAGCTATATCCTATCTGTATAGAGAATAATATACTTATAGCTAGCTAGCTTAAGTATTTTTTCTACTATAGTATAGTAAGGCTGGATAGTTAAAAAATAAGAGCGGAAGAGAGAGAATAGTCTATAAGGCTGCTTTTAAAAGGAATTCTTAATTAATACTAATCTTAGTAATAGGGGCTATAGGGTAATAGAATACCTAAGCTATTAAATAGAGTCTTATATAAAAAAGTATAGTATCTCTAGAATAAAAGCCTAAAATAGAATTAGAAACTGGAATTTAAGTATTAGTTAAGGTAAATAGTTTACTATTCTAGAGCTTCCTAAAGCTTTAAGAGTCTAGACTTCTATTAGTATAAAGATCCTAATAGCTCTATAATAAATAATTATTAGAGCTCGATCTATATAAAAGTATCTAAAGATCTGATCTAAAGTATTCCTTATACTTATAATTTATTTACAGTATAATTAACCTCTTAGGCTTCCTTATAGAGGTAGTAAGCTAAATAAAACCCTATAAACTATCTATTACTAAGGGCCTGATTAATAAATAGAATACAGTATAAGTCTATTACTAATACTATATCTTACTTTTCAGTATTTATCTTAAGGATCTAGACTAAAGAGTAACTACTGATTTCAAAATACTTATTATAATTTAATTATAATAGTATTCTAAATTTATAAGTCTGGTATATAAATATTATACTATATATTCCAGTACTATAATCTAGATTAGATATATAAGAATAGAATAGTAAGTTCAGCTTATTACCTCTAAGAGGGAGCCTTTATAGCTAATAAGCCTTTAAATATATTATAAAAGTATATATAATATTTTAGATTAAGGTTCAGGCTTTTATATAACCCAGCTAGTCTAGATATTTATTATTCTAAGATCTATTCTATTCTTATATATATTATTAAAGTATAGTATAGCTAGTAATTAATAATAATATAGTATTCTATAAGTATTATACTATTATATATATAATAGTATCTATTTATACTAGAGGCTAAGGGAGATCTAATAATAATATAGATAAACCTAAGAGATCTAGATACTTAGCCTGTATTAGACTAGCTATTATAAGATCTTCTAAATAGAGCTAGCTATTAATAGGAGTTAAAATACTCTATAGCTCTAGCTCTCTTATACTAATAACTCCCTTAGACTAGATAGAGAGAGGCTACTATATATTTATATTACCTATTCTAAAGGGTAAGAATAAGGCTAAAAATAATAGTTTAGATATTAAAGATATAGAGATATAGAATATTATAGACTAGCAGATTAAGCTCTATTCTTATTTTACTAAGTAGTATAAGCTAATAGATAGTAATAAGTAGGAGTTTTTACCTTATATATATAACTTAGATAATATATTACTAGGAGTATATAATTATTAAAAGTAGTAGATTCTAAAGTAGAGTTTTAATCTAGATAATCTGCTTTAAATAGAATACCTTCTGAAGAAGAAAGACTAGGAAGGCTAGATAGATTAAATAGATTAGGAAGTAAGAGTAGAAATAGGAGTAAAAGTAAGAGAGAGAGTAGGAAAGAAAGTTTAGAGAGTAGGATTAGTAGACTAGGTAGATTAGAAAGTAAGAGTAAAAGTACTAGAAGAAGAGAGAGACTAAATAAACTAGTTAGATTAGAAAGTAGAAAAGAAAGTAGAAGATTAAATAGATTAAGATCTAGAAGTAGAAATAAAAGAATAAACTAGTCTAATAGTAAATCTAGATCTAGAGATAGAGAATTATAAGATACTACTATATAATATAATTAGAATATCTCTAGAAGGATAGTATTAGTCTATAACCTTCTAGATAGAACTATCTACTTATTATAGTAAGTATATAATCTAGAAAGAGCTTATTATATATAGGCTAAGAATAGAGCTAAAGGTAAATTACTTTAGTAAGCTACTCTAAGTAGTAGATAGCTATATAGATATATTATATAAGTATATTAAGTTACTAAAGATAGATACTATAAGAATATATAATAAGGATTATATTATATTTATTAAGGGAGTTCTTAAGTAGTAGATAGATATACTAAAACTAGGTATTATCTTACTAATAGAGCTAGTTATATATATCTCAGATCTAATACTAGAGACTATCTATACTATAGACTTTATCCAGAGGAATATACTACTCTAGTTATAGTATAATAGCTATCTAGTATCTAAGCTAGTATCTAAAGATAATTAATTCCTAGATAGAGTATATATACTAGATATATATAAGAATATATATAAAAAGATAGAATCCCTTCTAAACTTATATCTATAGAAGGTAAATAGTACTATCTGGGAACTAGAGAATATAATATAATATATAGATATATATAATATCTACTATACTACTTATAAGATCCTACTAGATCTTACTATCTTAGTATAAAAAAGAGTAGTACTATTAAAGTAGAATATTTAGCTTATATTATCTCTAGATAAGCTTAGTAATATTAATATACTATTTAGTCTAAAGATAGATAATATATAGATTATTATATTAATATTACTATTCTTACTTAGCTATCTATAAAGAATAAATAAATAGACTATTATATTAATTACCCTAATTATCTAGTAGCTTATAGACTCTAGAACTATATATAGGGTATCTCTATATCTAATAGCTATAGAGCTTTAGATTCTATATAGATAGTAAATATCTAGCTAGATAAAGATAGATATACTAATAGATAGTTATATAATAAGAATTAAAAGAAATTAAATTTACTTAAAATCTCTTTTAATATAAAATAATATAAATAGCTTTTAATAATTTTCTAAAATTAATCTCTCTAGCTATTAATATACTTCTTTACTTCTAACTCTCTAAAGAAATACTTTTTAAACTTCTCTCTATTTTCTAGTATCTCTTTATCTTTATCTTTATAATCTATTACCTACTTTTACTATTTAGCTATATTTATACTATTAAAATCTTTAATCTTAGTATAAAGCTTTACTCTATATTTAGTAAAGATATAAGCTCTAGTTCTATATCTAAAGTATCTTATAAGCTATTATATATCTTTATAAGCTTTAACTAGTTATTAGTTAATAATAGACTTCTATATATATAAGTAGAGTAACTCCTAGATCTAATTAAGTATTAATACTTTTTATTAGTATAGAGTATTAATCTTATAGATATAGAGATTATTTACTTCTTAATCTTCTTCTAGAAGTATATAGAGATAGTACTAGTAGGTAAATTTAAAGATATATAATAGGCTTTACTAGTAAAAAATATATCTACTAAAATTTCTAATATATATACTTATTATCTTCTTACCCTATAGGATACTCTATATTATATAGATCTTAATTATACTCTTTTCTAAGTTCTAGAAGGAATAGATATTAGGAAGATAAGAGTAATTAATTTAATAGATAATCTTAAATAGCCTATATATTATATTATAGTTAGAATTCCTAAGTTTAATACTATTAGTATATATTATAAGCTTAAGATCCTTAGCTTAGTTTTAATTTCTAGTTATATTAAAGAGTTTCTAAACTTTCTTCTACTTAGCTTATTCTAATTTATTATATTCTCTAAAGAGCTCTCTATAGTTATTAAACTACTAGTCTATATATTAAAAGAGAGAGACTTTTAAAAGAATAAACTAGCTATATATAATATCTATAATTATAATAAGGCTTTTCCCTTTCTTAGGAATATAATATACTTTATATAGAGGTTTTATAATACTAGATATAATAAGCTTCTAATAATTATTAATAGCTTTCTATATAATAAGAAAAGTAAAAGATATATAGAATAAAAGGATAAAGATTAAGGGTATTTATATTAAGTAAGAAGAGAGAATTATTAAAGGAAATAGAAAATAAGGAAAAAGAGATTAATTAACTTTCTTTAAGCTAATCTAATAACCTTAAGTAATAGATAAGAATACTAAAGTAAATAATAAATAAGCTAAGTAAAATAGTAAAAAGAAACTCTTTATTTACTATATATTATTTACTATTAAGTTTAGTCTTTATTAGTATTAAGTTTATTTAAAAAGCTTTAATTAATACCTTAGTATAATATAGTATATTAATTTTATAGAAGTTTAAAAATAATTAAAATATATTACTAAATTATAATATATTATTATAATATTATATATCTTTATTATACTAAAGTTTTCTTTATACTAATTCTTAACCCCTTCTAGATATAGTTTTACTAAATAGATATAATACTATCTACTCTTACTATTTCTTTCTATAGTTTATTAAAATTAATACTATTCTTAGAGAAAAGCTTATAGATATTCTTAGTTATATAGTTAGAGTAGAAATAATATAGATAGCTTAAGTATTATATTAATATAGAAAAAGTATTTAATATACTAATAGATTATATTATTTATCTTAGTTCTATTTATATATAAATCTTCTCTAATCTAGTAAGTAAAATAGAAATATATTAATATATAGTATTACTCTTAATACTATCCTAGTTAATTCTACTTCTAAGCTATTATTATACTATCTTATTATTATCTAGATTAATCTCTATTCTATCTATCTCTAAAAGCTCTTCTATAATAGTAATTACTTATTCTAGTATAAACTAAAGCCTAATAGTATATACTTCTACTACTAGCTCGGAGTATAGATATTTCTATTTCTTTATCTTTTAAAACTACTTCTCTTCCCCTCTAATAGCTCTCTATTATCTATATATCTTCTATAGTAATCTATATTAGAAATAACTATTAAATCTCTCTATTTTTCTCTCTTAGAAGTAGTCTCTCTTTATTAATCTAATCTATTTTAAGAGATTAGCCCTTTACTTACTCTCTAATAAATAGTATAACCTAATACTATAATTATCCCTCCTATATAAGAAATATTAGTCTATCTACTATACTAGCTACTATTAGAATTATTCTACCTTCTCTATATTCTTCCTAGTCTACTTAGCTCTAAGCTATATTACTAATATACTCTATTATTACTACTTTTTAAATATTCTTTATATACTTATTATCCCCTTATTCTCTTTATTATTTAATTCTAGCTCTTTTACTTATCTAGTATTAGTATATATATTATATAGTATATTACCTATCTTATATAGCTCTAGCTATAATCTATCTATTATTTTATCTAGTAGAAAATATTAATAACTTAATACTTATATAAATACTAATATATCTATATTTATACTATTCTATATTATTCCTTCTAACTCTCTAGCTTCTATTATATCTCTTAAGCTAATAAGAATTACTTAGCTTATCTACTTATTCTATTCTACTTATCTACTCTTCTATATATAATTCCAGAACTATTATAAAAGTTCTATATATAGTACTATCTATATATCTAGTATATTAATTCCTATTCCTAGTATATTTATTATTATAATTAGCTTATTCTACTTCTTCTACTACTATATCTTCTCTATTTTTATCTCCTATATCTCTATCTTACTATAGAAAATCTTATATCTAAATACTATCCTAAGCCTCTTTATAACTATAATTATCTATATATAGATAATTATATAATCTAGGTTTACTTATATCTCCTACTATACTACTATCCTCCTAGTCTAATTAAGCCTAGGGATATTATTATTATCTACTTTCTTATTACTCCTACTATTCTAATATATTTCTAATCCTATTACTAAGTATATAATATTCTTCTACTATATTAGACTATAGTATATATATACCTAGTACCTTATAATTTATACCCTATAGAGAAATATATTTTTCTTCCTTAGTAGAAGTATTACTATTAGAAAGACTAGCTATATCTTCTATAACTATAAAATTCCTTCTAATACTACTAATACTAGCTAGAACTATCTAACTCTATTTAGAACTATATAGTACTTATCTAAGATTATCTAGTCTAGTAGCTATTATATCTATAGCTACTAAATAAAGTCCTAGAACCTCTTTATAATTATTAACTTAAGTATTATAAATACTAAACTAGTAATCTAGCTTAATCTCTAGCTCTACTATATATATATTAAGATTCTAGTTTCTTTATACTATTTATATATATCTATATATAGTATAATAAATAATATAATTATAATTATTACTCTATTTAGTAAATAGTATATTAGTAATATAAAAATCAGGCTCTTACCCCTATCTATATCTATAATATATACTATCAGGCTAGCCTCTATTATAATTATTTAGATTATCTTCTCCTACTAATCTTAAAATACTATATCTAGCTCTAGTATTATCTAGAGCTATTTATATATAGATACCTACTATAGCTAGTAGAAGTAGTAGTACTAACTACTTTTCTAATATAGTTCTACTATCTTTAGTATCTACTTTATCCCTCTAGCTACTATCTATTCTCTTTTATATATATTAAACCTAAGGAACTAATATTACTACTAGCTAATCTACTAAAACCTAATCTACTATTATATTATTCTAAATATTAACTACTAGAGCTCTCTTATATATATTATACTAGTAATATAGCTTTTATATTCTATCTATATATCTAGTATATAGTCTAATATAGTATTATTAATATTATTATCTTTCTTATCTTCTACTCTTCTAGTATTCTTCTCTATATAGAAAGCTTTATTTAGATAGTAGTTAGTAATAATAATAGTAATATACTACTAGCTAATAATTATAAGCTTAGCTTCTATATACTATTTATTATATTACTAGAGAATCTACTATATATAATTTACTAACTATACTAACTCAGGCTCTAGTACTATCTATATAGATCTATTTATATTAGTTATTCTCTTTATTATTTTATCTATCTAGAGAAATATATTAGATCTACTACTATACTATCTAATAATACTCTATATCTTCTACTAGAATAGTAGAACTAATTATATATACTATACTAGCAGAGAACTAACTATATATAGTAAATAGTAGTAGATTATTTTACTATAATTACTAATTCAGATATTCTTATAATATACTATTATAAAGAATAATATACTCTAGTTATAGAAGATATTCTATAGCTTACTATTAGCTATATTCTATATCTATATCCTATTAATCTCTATTATATATACTAGTATTAATAATATATATATTAATAAGAATATTTACTTCTAAAACTATAATAATATATTAGTATATTAGTAAATAGTACTTTATTTAAATAGATACTTATTATTATTAGTATTTATACTAATCTATATCTTCTATAGTAATATAAACTATATAAACTATTTAAATATCTAGTTATTCCCTATCTATAGCTATATATTATACTTATTCTATAGGAATAAATAACCTATTATATTATACTACTAGTTATTCTTAAACTACTTCTATCTAATCTCTAGAAATCTATCTATTATACTTATTATATTTAATATTAATACTCTAAATAGCTTCTCTATCTCTTATATAAGTATATATAGTATCTCTACTAGTTATAGTATCTAGAACTAGATTATTCTATAGTTTATATAATTATCTAACTACTTAATACTACTACTATTTAGTATATTATAATAGATATTTATTCTATATACTTATATTTTAAAGATTCAGTCTAATAGTATTAGCTTAGCTATAAGCTCTCTATATATCTATACTATAAACTATACTATCTTACTATATAGTATATAGAATATACTCTCTACTTCTTTATATATATTATCTATACTTATTACCTATAAGTACTATATTATCTATATCTCCTGCTTATAATATAACTAATATAGTATAAGTATTTATACTATCTTAATTATAGCTAAATAAATCTATATATAATTAAGTATAGACTCCTACCCTCTATCTTTCTAGATATCTATAATAGCTAAGCTACTTACTAGTATATTTTAATATATATCCCCTTTTAATATATAATTAAACTAACTAATTATTATAATTAGATATAAATTCTATTTATTCTAATTAGATTAATTATTCTACTATCTATATTTACTAGATATAGTCTTAATAAATATATTCTAATAATTATCTTATACTATTATAAAAATAAATAATAGTTACTTATTATTAGCTATTTTATCTATATAATATATAATATATAGTAGCTATTAGAATATATTCTTATACTGCTTCTATATATTCTTCTCTATTCTACTATTAAATAACTAATTAGATTTCCTTTCTAGAGTAGTTCAGGCTATTTTAAATAATATAGCTTTATCTATCTTAGTAGCTATTATAGTTATCTATATCTAGTTAAGTATATACTCTATTACTTTCTATACTAACTATAGTACTATTTTATTATTCTAAATATTCTATTTTATACTATAAAGCTTAGTAATAGAGAGCCCCTATAGATATATTATCTAGCTAATAAACTTAAACTATCTATTAGATTTAAGCTAGTTATTCCTAACTTAAATAATTATTTATATCTTATATATCTCTTTAGTTATTTCCTTCTTAAAGAGTTTCTCTACTCTTTCTATAGCTAACTTAGACTATAGATAATTAATAAGACTAATAGTTTCTCTAGCTATACTAACTCTAAACTAACTACTTATAGCTTTTTAAGGAAAGAACTACTAATAATATATACTACTTATCTATAGCTAGTTATAAGTCTCTATTACTTTCTTCCTAATATTACTATCTTTCTTCTAATTACTATTCTAATTATACTTTTTCTATAGATAAGTATATATCCCTTACCCTATATAAATAATATACTAATATATTTAGTATTATAATCTATTAGTTCTAGATAGAGAGATATATAGTACTAGCTCTATAATATATTATAATAGTATATAGTTATATAGTTCCTCCTGATTCTATATAAACCTATTAATAGCTTATATAGCTATCTTAATTTCCCTTCTCTAGATTACTATAAATAATAAATATTAATTTTAGAGATAAAATTCTATCTCTTTATTAATATAAATATATTAGTACTACTTATAGATAATAAATAGATATTATATAAGATAGATAAATAGCTCTATTATATTTAGTATAATACTATAGATTATATAGTATTAAGATTAAATATATTAATAGAGTAGGTTTTAAAGATAGTAGATAGTATAGATAAGGATCTTAATAAGATCTAGTTTAATTAAGCTTCTAGTTAAAGTTTTACTAAGATACTAGATAAATAATATTCCTAATAGGAATATTAGAAATATCAGTTAAATACTAGATAAATAGATAATTTTTATAGGGTTATTTAAATTTCTAACTAATAGATTAATAAACCCTTAGTAATAGATCCTACCCCCTATCTTTTACTAGTATAGAAATTTACTTACTAAATTTTAATAGATCTTACTAGAAACTATTATAGAATTATTAATAGGTAGGTATTTTAATAAGGCTTTATCTAGCTAGTCTTTTAGTAAGACTTTATTAATATATTATTCTTTTCTATAATAATTTACTATATAGTTACTATATATCTATATTTATAAGTATTTAAAGTTAATAAAACTATAGAGCTATAATATTCTTAAATAAATATATAGTATATATATTAAGAAGGTATATTACTATTAAATATTAAACTAAGTATTATTATATACCTTAGGATTATACTTTATATAATAATAATAGTTTTCTATTATTCCTAGTCTATAATAGAAAGGAAATATAAATAACTCCTTAAGTTAAACTCTTAATTTATAATCTTTTCTCTTCTATCTATCTATCTTTAGTTTTTATTTTACCCTAAACCTTCTACCTTATATTATTATATTAGCTTACTATAGGCTTACTCTTATCTATTAGCTATATTACTTTTCTATTTATTTAGAGCTACTTTTTTCTCCCTTTAGATTATTACTTTTAAATAGTAAGAACTTAGGGAAAATATTAGTATTAAATAGATCTATATTTTACTATAGTCTATAGTACCTGGGTATAGAGCTAAACTATCTTCTCTGTTTAAGCTATAGCTCTTTCTTATAGTTTATTACTATTTCTAATCTCTAAATATCTAATTAGAGATAAAGAATAGTATAATACTATATAGATAGACTGTTTTATTAAAGCTATTAAGCTATATAGATAGATTAAACTTAAGTATATACTTATATCCGAACTAGAGGATAAGCTACTTATATTTATCTACTTTTTCTAGCTTAATTATTTAATATATACTAAATATATATAATAGATTTATTATACTTTTAAGAAGCTATTTATATTAGTATAGATTATAAAGATAGCTATATATAGTATATATCTTATAAATAGTACTATCTTATTTATTCTACTTAATAATACTAATTAGAGTATATTAGGCTCTTTTAATAGTATTCTACTATATATTAATTCTTATATATTACTAATCTATAATTCTAATTCTAAAATTACTTATTAGCTTACTAGTTACTATTACTCTATATAGCTTTATACTAAGTTTCTATAGCTAAGATAGTATTAAATAGTATAGCTTACTATAAAGAATATACTTATTATATCTATAGCTATTATCTTCTATAAAAAAGCTATAATTAAACTTAATATTAAGCTTAATAAGGAAGCTACTTTAATAGATAAAAGTAATATTAAGACTATTAGTATAAAGCTAAAGAATTACTATAGTATAGTAGTTATATATATTCTTAG